GTGGTGCTGGGGGATTGAACCGTGGTCCCTGGGCTTTGCTAAGCTTGTTCTAAGTAGGTGCTTTAGACCACTGAGCCATCTCACCAGCCCCTAAAATCTCAAATATTGAAAAAAAAAAAAAAAAAAGATACAAAACTGAAAACCCAACCAGATGACCTGCCTCAGATTGTCCTTTTTCCTATTATTCTGCCTTTCAATCTCATGGTCTCATTTTAAAGGCTGGAGTCTGAACAACTAAGCTAAGGTTTAGCTCCGAGCACCAATACCAAGGCCTGTGGGTATGCACCAGATGACTGAATAAAAGGGAGCTCCTGGAACATGGGGACACTGCACCTGGCCTGTAGCTGACACTAAGCCAACTCCAGCTGCACCATACCCTCCCCTATAAAAATCTGCTCACACAGAAAGCTGCACCACAGCACAGCCACGAGAGCGTGGGTCTGCGCAGCCAGTGCTTCCTTGGATTTGGATCTGCCAAGGGACAGTGACAGCTACAGTACCACAGCAGTGTTAGCAGCTATTCCCATCAAAGTTGTAAGTGGTTGGGGGTCCAAGACTTGAATATGGGCCAAGCTCCTTTCACAAAACACACAATAATGCACATTTCACTGAAAACATTTTATTGGCCTTCTGACCAGAAACGGGAATTTATTTGCCAGGAAGGATGATTCCATCATACTGAAAAAGAACAGATTTTATTTTTTCAGAATAAGAGGCAACAATGATTGCAGCAAAGGCAAATTTTTCAGAATTCAAATCTAATACATAAACTTCAGCTCTGAGCCCCAATTTGTTTCTGGACTGAAACAAAGACTGCTTGATTTTTCAAACCATTGTCCTGTGCTTACCTGCACTACCACCCAAGAAGGGGGCTCCTTTTAAAGCCATGTTCCTCCCCTTCCAGCTACCCACATCCTTAGCTCCGGTCATTCAATTAGACCACCAACCCTGGAAGCCCCATCTGCCAAGCGGTCAGCTACTCTAAGGACGCTAGCTGCCAAACAGTACTGCACTCCCCTCTGCCCCCAATCCCAACTCCATTCAGCACCACAAACCACCACTTTGTTCAAGAAAAACCAGCTTTACCTTCTGCTGGAACCAGCGCATGGCCTCCTCTTTGCTGATTCTGTGTTTGGCCCCAATGCAGCCTGTCCTGCGCTTCTTGTCTGCGATGCTGAAACCTGGCCTACCCAGCACCTGAACCAGGAATAATCAACAGTCATCCACCCGGCACAAAGTCAACAGCAGACAGACAGGACTCAAGCACTGGAGACAGGACTTCAAGGGTCACTGCACACCTCTGGAGGGGACCCACGGGCCCAGGCACTGACAGCACCGTCTTGAGCATGCTGGGCACCACACCATCAGGTACAGAATTTGTAGGCTGCACACTTCAGCCCCTTCTCCTTCCCTGTCCAATTCCTAAGATTCTGTGAATATCCCACCACCAATCCCAATTTCCGCAGCACTTCCTTTTAGAAATATTGCAAAAAGTATTACTGACACATGTGCAGTACAGAAGATTGTAAATTTGGAGGCACAAAGTTTTCCTTACTGCTTCAGCTTAACAGAGCTTCCAAGAGGTGTGCCGCCTCCAAACTGAGTACCCAATTCCCACTATTTTTGGATATGTGAATCTAATGAGGATGCCACTGTCATTTGAGTTCCACATTAATTAAAACGCCTGTCCTTTTGGGCACTTCTACGGATAACCCAGAAACACTGCAGTTAAAAATCACCCGCTCCTGATACAACTGCATCACCCAAAACTGGTTCTATATTCTTTGATCCCGAGTGTGTAAGGGAAAACAGCAGGACTGAGCAGCCTCGGTGAGCCAACCCAAAGGCCAAACACAGCACGAGTACCGCTTGCTCTCAGCAACCACTCATCGTTAGGCCATGCTGGCACCTGATGTTACAGACCGAAAGCCGCCCAACAGCAGGGATCCTGTCTACCTCATCCAGTGCTGGCCTTGTCTGTCTTGCCCCAGGTGAGGCTCATCCTTGCAAGGGGGAAAACACCAGGACAGCATAAATCAAACAGATTTCCCTCGCCTCACACACCAGGACCGGGAAATGTTCATACCACATAGAAGTCCAGGCCGTAGATACCAATGCTTGGGTCATATTTGATGCCCAGATCGATATGTTCCTGGATTCCAAAACCAAAGTTTCCAGTATCGGAGAAGTTATTTTTCCTTAATTCATACTCTCGCACCTGAGGAGAAAAATGCAGTAGTCACAGTATTTGTCACCTTAAAGTCCACCCGCTCAGGTAACTAGCTGACTGCCCACACTGAACATCCCAGAGCAAAAAGAGCAATGTGACTTGTGGGAAACACAATCCATCTGCCCACACCAAGTCACACTCCAATTACAGATTTCACAAACCTTTTCAACTTTTAGTGGGCAGAGAAAGAGAGACACCAACATGACTTCCAGGCATCTTTACAACTTTCAGGCAACAACAAAATACAACGGAACTCTGAGCATTAGAGAAGACTTCTAGAAGCAAAAGCACCCGAGTACCTGGCCACCAGAGAACACCATACTAAATCTAACCACTGCCACTAAAATCACCTACCACCCCAAAGACAGGCTCAGCCTCACCTTTAGGCCTTTCTCCAGGATTTCTTCTGCCTTCGCCCCTCGGACTGTGCAGTGAACAGCGATCTTCTCATTTCTCCTGATGCCAAAAGACCTGACGGTGTATCTAGCTGCAGGCAGGGAACAAGGAACCAGATCCTGTCACACTGCCATCCCACTTGCCTCTTCCCCAGGACACCATCTCCCCCAACTCTTAAGTGGCCTTAAGGACCCATCCACGATCTAAATGGTGGGTTCTTATCTTCCGATCTCACGTACAGCACAGAAAAGACTGTTCCAATATCCAAGCCTCAAATCATTGGAAGGGCAAGTTGACAATCCAGAACAATTCAAAGAGGAAAAAAGAAACAGTAAAAAGACACCAAACACTGCTGTTAAAATGTACCAACTTGTTATCCTCTACCAAGAACACCCAAGTGTAATACCCTTTCTTCAAATAAGAAAGCGGACGTCCAAACAGCCCAGTTACAAGACAAGTGGCAAACTGTAGGCAAATGGCCCCTCTCTTAAAAGTAGCCTGTGTCGCCGACCTGGAATGCCAAATGCTCTTTATCACATCCTTGCTCTACCTCAATATTCTATGTCCCTGAAAAATTCACTACTAGGACTAGAGCTAAAAGTCTCCTTGTGGAAAACGTGGTATGCCAGCGCCACAACTAATCTCATAGAAGAAATACTTTTGGGGACAGATCATGTATTTACTGCTTTCAGGAAACGCCAACTGTAACCTCAACAGGCTCAACAGCAGGTGAATTACGCAGGAACCAAACCGCCAGCCCTCCCCACGCCTGCCCTTACTCACCTTTAGAAAACACAGGAGTTTGGCCCGTGAGCTGCTCCAGTACCTTGGCTGCCCGCGTCAATCTGTCTCCACTCTCCCCGACGCAAATGTTTAGGCAGAGTTTGCGAATTCGAAGTTCCCGCATGGGGTTCTCCTTCTCACCTTGATCCTGCTGTAATGGGTCAGCGATGCAGTCAACAACCACAACCCCTGAAAACCCAGTGCTTTCCATTTAGATACAGTATTTATTCCTGTTCATCCCAAACCCTAAGGGAATCCCTAAGAACTTTACAAGTTATCGATGTGGTTGCCAGAAGACATCGGCTCCGGATTATGCCTAAAACTGCCACTGAAGATTAATCTTAAAGGGCTCAATGTGTAGGGTGACGAGGTGCGTCCCAGTGATGAGGTCAATTAGGACAGCGTCAGGGTAAAAACTGCTAACAGCACGTTATGCGATGCCTCCCACCCCATTCTGAAGCTCTGTGCGGGTTGGGGCCCAAGGCTGGCGCCTGTCCTAAGCGGAAAAACCGGCTCAAGTTCCGTGCCGCCAGGAATCATCTCTAGTTTCTGGCCAGGAAAGAAACCGAACCCGACGCCCAGGAATCCTCCGTTCATCCCACCTGCCCTCACTGCAGCCGCACGACAGACGGGCCCTCCAGACGGCTGCCTGAAGCCCGCTCCTAGGGCAGCCGACTGACAAGTTCCCGTCCCGCGCCCTCGATCGATAGGGCCCTGCCAGTTTCTGCCCGGGCAGAACTGTGGGAGTCAGTGCTCCCCGGACGGCGGGTGAGACGGCCCCTGCGGGAAAGACCAGCAGAGGATGGAGACGGATGAAGGGGAGCAAAGCCAGGTGTCAAACTACTCACCGCCATGGTGGAGAACCGGAAGAGAGCGCGGAACTTCCGGTCCACGGCATTGTGGGTCAGGAGGCGGGCTATTGTCCCAGGCTAACACAAGAGAATTGGGGCGAGCAAGAGAGGCGCGTCTGGCGCGGCGCAGCGTCGGCTGCCCTCTAGTGGACTGTGATCGCAACTACAGACGCTTCTTAACTTCAGGACCTTAATTTTCCAAGAATAGTTTTAAAAACTCGCTGAACTCGCTGGCAGGTCGTTGAGTTCATGGTGTTCCAGATGTCTTCTCTTTTCATACTCTCAGAACCTTTGCTTCTTGCACGATGACAGCGCCAGAGCTACATACATTCAATTTTGTAAGTTTTGGGGCTAGGGAGATAGTTCAATAGAATAAGCACCTGCCTGGCAAGCACAAGGTCCTGAGTTCAATACCGGGTATTGGAAAAAAAAAAAAAATTGTAAATTTTGAAGAAAGGAAATTTATTTTCTAACAATGTAAAATAAAAGAATCATAGGGCCAGGGAGATGGCTCAGTGGAATAAGTGCTTCCCTGGCAAGCGCAAGGACCTGAGTTCAATCCCTGGTTCCGAAAAAAAAAAAAAGAATCATGGAACAGATGGGTGGCTCAAGAGTCCTGTTTTGTGAAGACAGCCAGGTGTGTAGCTTAACTAAGGACTGTGAAACCTAGGACAAGGTACTTTTTTTTTTTTTCTTCCTGACAGGGTTTCTCTATGTATTTGTGCTGGCCTTGATCCTCCTGCCTCAGCCTCTTGGACCGGGCCGGACAAGTTACTATTTAAAACTCCTATAGCCTCAGGTTTTCTTATGTGCAAAATAAGCACCTTTATCTCATAAGGTTGTTGTGAAAATCCAAGGAGGGGGCTGGAGAGATGGCTCAGTGGTCTAAAGCACCTACTTGGAACAAGCTCGGCGGTTCGATCCTCCAGCACCACATGCCAGCCAGCCCCGCCCCCTGGTGGGCTGAGCTGGCCACACAACACAACACAACACAACACAACACAATAAATAAATGTTTAAAAGAAAAATTTAAAAAAAAAAAAAGAAAATCCAAGGAGGTAGCCAGGCGTGGTGTCATAACATGAATAACTCGCATGTGGGAAGCTGAGGCAGGAAGATGGCTATGTGTTGGAGGCCAGCCTGGGCTGCATAAGTGAGTTCAAGGCCAGCCTGCACTACTACATAGTGAGACCCTGTCTAACACCAAAAAAGAAAATTCAATGAGGTAATTGTATAAAGCCCCAAAATAGGACACTTGAAGAAAACAGGGAGATAGAAAAGGAAGAGAAATTTAATCTAGATCAGAAAGTTACAGATTTTGTTTGGGTTTTTTTTTTCTTTCTTTTTTTCTTTTTCTTTCTTTCTTTCTTTTTTTTTTTTTTGACAGGATATTACTAGTCTGAGCTCACCTCAAACCTGGTGCTCCAGGCCATGTGTGGTGGCAAACATCTGTAATTCTAACACTCAGGCAACATTTTCATTTTTATTATTTATTATTTTGAGGTGCTGGGGATTGAACTCAGAACCCTGCACTTGCCAGGCAGGAGCTTATTCTACTGAGCTATCTCCCAGCTCAATCCTAGCATTCAGGAGGCTGAAAAAAGATTGTTTTGAGTTCAAGGAGACCCTGTCTCAAAAACACAAAGAAAAAAAAAGAAACTTTAAAAAAGGGGCTGGGGAGATGGCTCAGTGGAATAAGCGCTTCCCTGGCAAGCGCAAGGACCTGAGTTCAATCCCTGGTTCTGCAAAAAAAAAAAAAAAAAAAAAAAAAAAAAAAAAGAATTGGGCAAATGTAAATTTAAGACCTGGGAAATCTGGGTGAAGAATATGTGGGATGTTATGCAACTTCTCTATAATTGTGAAATTGTCAAAGTAAAAATAACCCATGAGAAACATGTACCTGAGAAAGCAGTTCATCCCCCAAACCTCAGGCTCCTCCACTCATCCCAGCACCTCCCCCCAAGACTAGGGGTGAACCCAAGGACTTCACACTGAGCTACATCCTCTCCCCTTTTTACTTTATTTCCAAATGAGGTGTCACTAAGTTACTAAATTGTCCAGGCGAGGCTTGAACTTGCAGTCTTCCTACCTCAGCCTCTGAGAGTGCTGGGATTGCGGGCCTGTCTGGAGATTTCAGTAGAAGGTCTCTCCCGGGAGTGCTCTGGCCACCTCGGGCCAGGGTTGCTCTTGCTGTTCCCTGCCTTATCGCCTCCCCGAAGGCTCTTCAAAGATACATTCTGATAGTGACAGCTGCTTTGCCACCAGGCAGGGCCCCAAGCTCCAGGACCCTGCCCTGCATTTCCTTGTCCTTGTCCCCCGTGGTGATGCCACGGGGCAGAGCCCGCCACCATGTCTGGCTTGAGGAAGCTGCTTTGCACCTGGCCCACAGGCATGGTGCTGATGCCTGCAGGGACAGCCAGCCAGAGCCATCAGTGGCCAGACACCCCTGGCCCCAGCCACAAACATGCGCACGTGGCAGGAATCAGCCCTAACCTAGAGGTGCAGCCCCTGGGGTCTGTCCCTCATGTGGAAAGGGGCACGGTGTTATTGAGCCCATCTAGCATATCGGCCCTGCCATGTTGCTTCCCTTCCTGATGGCCGTCCAGCCTCTGAGTAAGGCCATCGGGACAAGGCACCAGAGCCCAAGTAGAACCACAGCCATCCTCAGTGACAGTGAGGTCCGACTCCTCTGATGAGAACAGCTGAGTTCAAAGCAGGAGAGCCCAGCGTGACAAGCTTCTCCGGAGAATCAACAGCTCACCGTCTTCCCGCTCCATTTCCTTTTGATTGTTGACAACCATCGTCAGGTGGGCCTTCCACACCCAGAACCAAGCTGATGCAGGTCAGCTGGGTGTTACAAGCTGGCCTTCAGTTAATTCAGCACAACAGCGTTGCTGAACACAAGGCTCCTAGTGGATGAAATTCAGGAGGACCATGCGTTATATGTGAGCCTTTGAGCAGGTGTATTTCCCCTGCTTTAAAGGCTCCAGTTGGGGACCAGGGAGATAGCTCAGTAGAATAAGTATTTGCCTGGCAAGCGCAAGGTCCTGAGTTCAATCCCCGGTTCCCCAAAAAAAAAAAAAAAAGGCTCACAGTTAACTGAAGACACAGGACAGTTCAGAGAACGGAAGAAAAAAAATAAAAATAAACAGATAACTGAAGAAGCGGGGTGGTTGAATGCAAGGGCTAAGTAGCCAGCTACCCAGACCATCTGCCATGGCTTGGGTCTATATGTCCCCCCAGAGCCTCAAGTGGTCATGGGGGTGCTTTTTCTGAGGTGGCTGGATCTAGAGTGTGTAATGTTTTCACGGTGCTAGGTCGAAGGGTGCTGGAATGAAGGGTGTGGGTGCTATCTGCCCCAAGGGTGGGTGGCCTGAATATGACAGAAGGGACAGGAAGAGGCTTCCTGATCACTAGTGATTGTCGTGATTGTCGCTTGCTTGCTTGCTCTGCTGCCTTTTGTCTTCCTTAAAGTGTTTCTCCTTTGCCTTGTGCCGCCCCGCCTTGGAGCCAGCCGATTATGGGCTGAAACACTTACAAACTGAGCTAAATAAACCCTGGGAGCGCCTCCCCAGCAGGATTGCTGTGAGTTCAAGCCAAGGCTGGGGGCCACAAAAGTGAGCACAAACGGGAAGGGGGGATAGCTCAGCAGAATAAGTGCTTGCCTGGCAAGCACAAGCCCATCTAGCATATCGGCCCTGCCATGTTGCT